CTTGGATAACCATTATTATTATTTCAAATGCACCAACCAACTTTTGGTTGCAAATAAATATTATTGATATTATAGTATAATATACCACTAACGAGAAAGTAAATTCCCCCAAATACAAGGTATTATTGACTACGAATGTAACGGCATGATAATGATGAATGAAAGGGGAGTTGGTTAAATATGCAATACCTTGTTTAAATACATAATACATAACATGCATAACGATTTAACTTACAATCGCAATTCCACACCTATTCCTTTCAGCTGCGTCATCGAGCATGACGTCTCTCCGATACTCTGTGGCATAACTGTGGAGAAATGTGCATGCGCCAGCATCTTCTCCCTCGTTATACACGGCCGACACATTTGCCCACAGAATTCTAGCGTCATATGTCAGACTCATTATGTTACCAAATTTGCTTTTACTGCAAACAATTTCCCCTAAAGTATCGACAAATCTTGGTAAAATTATCAATTTAAAGTCAGAGTTATTCAAAAATGCTTTATAAAAGAAATACACTGACATATCCAAATGTTCGACTAAGCCTATTACACTATTTAGCCAATATTTAAGTGCACATACATATCACTGACAATGGTACACAAGGAACATTAACTTATTTTTAAATTTGGATTATAAACTGTGACAAGGGAATTGCAGAGTAAGTTAGGTAGCTGTGTTTTACTTACATGGGTCAATGTGGTAATGCAATACCTGTTAAATAAGGATACACAATATTTATATAAGAATATGATTTGTCAATAGTATTGACGATCTTCCTGTAGGATTGTTTTGATATAATCTTAATCTAAGACTGCAGCAGACACAAATTATCACGAAATTCACTGCCTCTAGGGGATTTCACATTTTCATAAACTGTTATATCGTAAAACTTACTACACGGTCTTCTGTTAGATCCTCATCGATTTCCCCATCGTTATCGTCGTCTAAAAAATATTCGAAAAGGATTCAGATACATGATAAAATAGCTAATTAGCAATGGTTTTATTTCCGATAGATTACTTCTATATACATGTGTATATGGCAATTTATATTTACCCACAGTCAGTAATTCCCCTAATAATTTAAAGTATCCATCGTGACTTGGAGCTCCCTCTTAGAAATAAATACCTTTAGAATTATTATTTACAATCGTAGTCACATGGAAATATATTCAAAGTGCCTGACTCTTATTGCCTATATGCTGCCATATTGTAATTTTTCTCCACTCATCTATCCCAGATAGGTCTGTTCGAGTACTCTCATATGTTCCATGGAACGCTTGCCAAATCCAAATTCGTGTTTTAATTTTTATACATCTTATGAATCACTTACCGATATGGTTGTAGACCTCCTCGTCAACAAGCCCGTCACAGTCGTTGTCAACTAAATCCCCAGCCACTGTGATACTTGGGTGACATGGCTGAAATAACGCGAACAAAACTGAATTTCTGTTTTACCAATCGTTGCAGTCACAGCAACCTCAAAACAAATGAGTTCATGTTGCAGTCAAACCAAAAACTATATTATAGATGCAATACGATTCAGCTAGGTGTTTGTAGCATTCACGAGTGGGTACCACACGTACATGCGTCATTCTGAGGCGTTATGCATGACGTTTACACAATGTCTCATTCATAAGATGTAAAAGGCATACCTGTATGCAAGATACATAACGTTAGAGCGCTGCGTTTTCGACATCCACTTTGTTGTAATTTATCTGCAAGTGTCATAATTGTAATAAGGTAACAAGGTACCTTTCTTATAACCCAAATAATGGAAACAGGTATACTTACATGCGTTATAGTATACAACGCCCCAGCAGGGAAAGCATGCCCGACGTTATCTCCATAACCATACACAGAGGCTAGAACTCCTTCCTGTGGCTGATCATTACTTATATAATGTGTTCCTCTATCAACATTTGCGGTGGTTGCGTTCAGTTGTAGCATGGGCGTTCCAATAGACAGGTCTGAATTCCAATGCACTTGCCCTCCATCCAACGTTAAAGTTTTGAGGCAATAGGAAATTGATATCATGCTGACGCCGTTTAAACGCGATCCAGCCGAGACAAAGGTGACGTTTTTGGGGGTCTGTTCAAATGGGGTTGCCACTGCAGTATCTAGCCCCCCTGTTGTTGTTCCATCTTGGAAGTGATGCCTGCAAGACGTATGGACACCAACCAGAATTGGGTCATGTTCCCGTGCGGTAATGGTCAGGAGAGACTGCGCATACGTTTCGTATGTTACATGCCTCTCGCGCGTTATTGATAAAGTTGGTTGATTATTCCCTTGTGCAACGACGTAACTCTGTTCAGAGCGACTGGACAAAATCACCAAGGTCCAATTGTTGCTGTCCTCTGAATGCCTTGGTGATATGGTGTACATTCTTCCCCATGCTGACATCGGCGGCATCATCTCTAGGACGATATCTTTTGTGGAGCCAAACTGTTCTCTGGCACCGCTTATCACGGCAATGGGCCTGTCAGAATTGATGAAAGTTTGAGTTAAAGAGAACGCCTCACTGTGAATATGAAATGTTTCATACTTGGACAGCCTGATTTCCAACATACGGTGCCTTGTGAACTCGCTACCATTGTATATTACGAAAACACCTTCTACCTTTGGCATGGCGATTCGAACCCTGGTGTCGCTTTCCACAGCAATGATGATGATTTCCGAATGCTGGGAATAATCATCACTGTACCGTGAGTCAATGGAGCACAAGGCGACGTATTCTTGGCCTAATACATCAACTGGAAGGGCAAGGTATCCGCCGGAGAAACCGGGTCCTTCTGCGAGTCCAAATACTGCAATATCACGGGAACTTTCAACTAAGATGCTGTCTGTTGCAAAACCGGTCGCGTTCGACTTGAAAAGCGCTCTTGGCATGCTCACCGTAGTCTCTTTGCCTTTCTGGACACTGACTGATACTGGTGGATAGTCAGGATGCAATGGGGTGGACACTCGGACATCAGCAGGGGTGTCACTATAACTTGTCATCTTTAACATCAAACGCACATCTTTTTTATCGTCCGTGCAAGTGAAAGGCGACAGTAGTGCGTTTCCAAAGAATGACAGGACGAAGCGTTTACCCATGTTGTCTCTCTTCCCTGAAAGAGTGGCTGAACGGTAACGAGAATCGTGCTTTTGCCATGATAGAGGTATAAATTGTTTACGATATCTTTTATAACTAATAGTAACTAATATTGTAACCACTACAACTAGTAGTATTTCACTTATGTACTTGATATAAGAAAAACTAATGCACCACGCGCGATTCATGTTAGACATCTTCGCCAACACGGACTTGTGAAGGCATGCACGCACACACGTCTACGCTTGCGCATGCACGTCTACGCTGCGCCACGCGTTCACAGCCACTCACACAACTGCCTCACACATTATAACTGCTTGCGCGCGCGCGCGTGCGTGTGAATGTGCACTGCTGCATTATATTGTATTATATCACTGGTAATCGATCTAACCAACATCTTCACGTTAATGCACGAACCTTCACTGGCCGCTGCTGTTCGGCTTGCTGGCTCACACGTGCAGTACACATAGGCCCTGTCATCTCCACTGTTGGTGCAGTTACCGTTACCGTCACAAAGGCAATGGCAAGGTGCTGAAATATTAAAGAAACATTCTAAGATATAAAAATATAAAACAACAATAGAACCATTCAAAAATAAAAGTACCCGAGAATGCACTGAAAACTGGCATTAAAAAATTATCCCACAATTATTGTCGTTAAACCTTTGTATTGGTTGCACCTGAAAAGCAAGTACCGGTACATCTAATTTTGTTGCATCTTCTTACTCATAATGCATGTCAATGTTGCGTGCATTCATTGTGAGAAACAAAATTGTATCATTTTTCAGATTCATACAAAATTATGAAATATGGATCTACTTACAGCATTCGAAATTCCTTTCATACCAACCAGGTTTGCATTTGCACACTGTCCCAAAAGGTTCGTCAAGGACACAATGGCTGCCATATACGTAACTTGCGCAATCCAGGTCATGATTGCAATCCATTCCCAGCACTGGACGAGATGACAAAACAATTGAACATGAGGAAAATGAAATTAAATAATAACCAATATAATCATTTTTATACCGTGCTTGTAGCTGTACACAACATGGTTTATTTTTAGCAAAATTATGGCCGACTTTTAGATAGTTTTATTCAAACGACAAAGACTTTTAATACCAAATATACCATTTCCAAAGATGAATCTCAAATGTCATTTTAGTTACTGCCATAGAAAGTAGGGTATCGAAGGGAGTGCGGATTATATTTCCCATATAGAACAACACATCAACATACGGCAATGACACTGTAGAAGATACTATAGAGTAATATAAAACTATTGACGTTAGTTTCCAAGTATTTATATTGAAATATTATATAAATATTATAATATCAAATTAATATTTAATTTATTCATAAAAAAATTATATAGCAATATTTTTTTGAGTAAATATAAAAAAAACAGCTACAGTTGTTCATTGTATTTCAGTCGTGTTTGTACAAGATTTTGCAAGGTTGAGAACGTTAACAGATATATTGAATAATAAAGAGAGTCTACCTTTCTCACAGTTACCCATATGATCCGGTGCAAACCCAGGTTTACACTCGCACCTCCCTCTCCAACACATACTGTTGATATCAGAATCCAAGCATGGGCAATGGTATCTTGATGGATCGAGTTCGTCATCAAATGCTGAATAAAGAGACGGACCATATACGCTTTCCATTGCACAACGACAGTGTTCCTTACAATCTACAGGTAAATTGGTAACCATTATCATAGCAATCAAATTGAACTCTTTAGCAACAATAATTTGTTTTGAAGATCAAAGTGCCCGAGTTTCAGGCCTTTTTCTAATTACCCGACATTGCTTTGGTTACTGTTGATAATACTTACTCTGATAACTGTGTGAACCATTGGTGACGATCATCATTTCAATAATATCAGGTCCTTTTGGGTCGCTTTCTAAAGTACTGACCGTCAAGTAATAGGTATGTTGTCCCTGTAGGCGAACATGAATCTCAGGATTTAATTTTGTATCTCCGTCGTCGTTTCTAACAATTATGCTTGAAGGCAGAGGTTGTGACGTCATGGGATCAATGGCGCCATATAATTCAATGAAAGCATCATAGTCTTCATAATCCAACGAAATCCTAATGTCGTTGGTGTCTTCTAGAGTGAAACTGTACACAGTGTCCCCTTTTGATAAAACGCTCCGTCCACCTGTGTGTATGTTTGGGGCGTTCTCATTGCACTTCGTGTTTACGTAATATGTTTGGTTGGAAACCAGTACTCCAAGATCCATGACAAGAACTGACAAAGAAAAAAGAACACTGTTTTTTGCTCAACGTGTTATTGACAACGGAAAAGGGGAGTGTTATGCAGCAAAGTGGGAAATGATTAACATCTTCTATCATGCGTAGGCCTAAGGAATATAATAAATGTGCTGATCGCTTCCAAAAATCAGGAACTGATTGTGAAAATGACTAAAATCAAGGTCCTCAGCCTGAGCAGAACACCTTGGCTCCTTTTTACAAGTTGACATTTTACTGTGAGACCACGTTGCTGTCAATTTGACACGTTATTGCGCTAAAAGCTTTTTGGTCCAAACAACATCTACATGACTGATTTGAGAACCATTTAGTCCACTTATACCCGTCATATATACTATAACATACCGGTCTGTGCTTGTGTAGTATCATCGAAATCCTACCTGTTTCGCAGATCGTTATATGCGTCGACACATTCACAACTGAATTAATTGCGTTTAACCCCGTAATATGCAGATCTCTTATCGGCAAGTACCGTTTATCGTCTATCACAGCTATATCGTCCGTTTCTTGTCCAGAATGACAGTTGCAGGCAAATCTGAAACAATTTTAGGGGAATCAGATGATTTATACACACCATCTTTATTTCATTTCTGTGGCAGTTAACGTTTTTGTTATGTACCAGCACTCGTAGATATAAGATATTTCAAAGCGCTGCAGCATTGACTGGCTTCTACAAATTGTAACACAGGATTGACAAGAGACACGATATATTTTAATACACAGCGCACTGAAATATTGAAAAACATATTGGGAATTTTCTGCACATTTCTTGCAAAATAATGACTAAAAAAATCATAACTTTGATTAAAGCAACTCACACATAGATGGTACGAGTTCTGACAGAATAAAGACGAAACTAGTGTCCAGACATGTTTTTATCTAAAAAAATTTAACTGTTTGAATCTACAACTGGATGGATCAGAATGCGCACTTTGGTTTGCTGAAATATTTTGGATCCATGCCAAATGTAAGACATCCGGGTTACCTGCTATCCACACACGTGTTCTCAAAGGTTGCATTACATGCGCAGTTTGAGCTATTGATTGGTGCTCCCCAGCCCGTGATTGAGTAACCCTGGCGCGAGGTCCACCACGTGCTGCCCCCAAACACGGTTGCATTGATGCAGCTGACTCCAATATGCTGAAAAGAAATAGGATTAAGCTCATAATGCATAAAACAATAACAGAGCGAAAATATGCATAGTCATACCCTAGCATAACTCGGTGACAGCATAAACTCATAGTTCTGACATTCGATATATTAAAATATTGCCGGTGTGGCGTGACGAAAGCGTTCTACAGTATACCATACGCGCGTTCACTGTTTGAAAGTATCTAATCAGTGCTGGCAAAGAGATGCCGAATGTTTTATGCCAGGAGGCTAACATGCCAAATGACGGACAAATTTTACGACAGCATTCAGATTCAGACATCATATTACTGGTTACCGGGTCGGTACAACTCTGCGGGGGATTCTCGTTGTGGTGAAATCAGTGATATCAGCTAAATTGTCTGACACGCCTCCTCGAGCAGCTCCTTTTAAGTTGATTCTTCTGATTGCACTTGGGCGAAAATCCCTGCACAGTTGGGCCGACCCAGCTAGTACGATGCGTGAATTTGAATGCATCCTACAAAAAAAAATTAGACGGTGCATTGTGCTGGCTGTCATTCTGTGTCCTAGTGTTAAATATCACGACCTACTTTGTGTTTCATTCAAGTGGCATTCAAGTGACATTTACCGTACTATCGGTATCAGTTTAATTCAAGACACCTTACTTATTGCAGTATTAAGATATATACATACACAAATGTATAAATAACGTACTAACCTGTTCACAATTTAATGATACATCCGTAATGGCGGACAGAAAGTTTAAATTCAGCCTTCTTTCCTTATACCAGTACGCTAAAGACACGTTGCTGTTGCTTTGAAACTGATAATCTGTGTCATCGTAAATCGTGAAGTCGTTGTATCCTCCAATGTCCGCCTCTTCACATCTGGCGTAAATGGGGGGAACGTTTGGTGATGGATATATCCAAGCTTCCATTCCAGTCGGGAATAAATCGTGGCACGTTCTGTAAGCATCTTTGTCAAATACATCGTTCATATCTGAAATAAAAAATAAATGCAGGACTGAAACGATAACTCTGCGAATGATCGAATAAACAGGGGTGATCTGAACGAAATTCCGTGATATTTGCAAAACGGCAAGCACGTGCTCCCATGCCCAATACACAGCCAGTGTTGGGTAAGTGACGTAGGATATGATATTTTTACGTGAACGTAAAATATACAAACAAAAAGAGAAATTCAATTGATAAATCAGCACAATTTTAAATTAAACGAAACAACACTTGTTCGTGAAAATAAGACTGCATTCCCACAGATTTAGATAGATCCATCTGGATCGACCCAACTCCCTGGGGGTTCAAGCTAAATTGCTGTCAGCCGAGCGCGCACGGAAGTTAATTACACCCTTACAGCTTTCAGTAGGCGGGACAGACATTTAAGCCGGCTAAGCTGACAGAAGTCTAGTGAGACTCCCCACGGGGATAGATCGATCTAAAATCTGTGGGAATGTAGTCTTAACTTAATCTATTTAACACATGTTAGACATATTCTGATTGTGGTAAATAAGCGTGCATGCAAAACTTGACTTTTTATAAGAACATCCATAAGCTAATTACCTACCAATTTCGCAAACGAACTGGTACTTATCTTCGCACGGCGTATTAGACAGCGCCCCATTATCCCAGTATAATGTCATACAACTGGTGCTGTTCACCCAAATCAACTGATCTGAAAATATAGCGAGGTCAAAGGTCAGATTCAATCTCAGTTACCAAAGTACATTTGAGTAGTAAGAAATTGGGCTGAGGGTTCTTTATCATGTGAGGATTGTGTGAGGAGTGTTTGTTTGTTTGTTTGTTTGTTTGTTTACAACATCTTTTGGGAGGGGG